GATGTGCTGGCTATTACAATGCGCCGACTGCATGAAGTTCAATGAAGTCCAGCATTATGTGCTCCAAAGACACGCAATGGCAGTCCAGCATACACTGACAAGCTGCGCGCGACCTGACACCGATTGGACTCAGTGAATGCGCATCACGTTGGTGGCATGGACCCGGCTTTTGGCTGGCGCAATCTCCGCCTCTGAATACAAGAAGCATGTCACAGCAGATCTGCTCGAGAACATGGATCCAAGTTCTGTGCGATCGTGGTCAAGGATGCCGGGACCCCAATACCAACCTCACACTTTGTCCCAAGGCAGCAGCTCAGGGCTCAGAGGGATCACGAACATTCATGAACCCTCTGCGCACTCTCCACTCCATCAAGCCCAGAGTCGGAGAACCCAGTGAGCGCTCGGAACACTCCAACCTCGCAGAAGTGCCAGAACTCAGCCGAACGACTTCGAAAAAGTGGGCAGCTGAGATGGCCGCAACAAAGGGTGACGGGGCACCCCACATTCCCCAGGACCTGGATGCATCATCTCATCATACGCACGCTGCCACAGGCAGATTCATCAGTTGCAGGCCCAATGATGACGCCCAGGTAGCCGACAAGGATCGGCACACGGCGCCTGGACACAGCCAAGGTCCACACTCGGCACGGAGGCAAGCGATGGCAAGCGATGGCGAGCGCATCTTCTTGCTCAGCACATAGCCGACGTGGCACTAAGTAAGCCCAGCACCCCAATTGATCCCCGAGCAAGCCAGAAAGAAGTGTTCCGGCCTCGCTCGGCAACGCAGCAGTGGCCCTCACATTCCCAGAATGCGAAGCTCATTTGCTCCTTTTACTATCCGAGGTGCCGGCTGCAAATCCGAAATATCCCACAGATGCAAGCAGCGCCACCTCAGATAGCAAAGCAGAGCAAAGCCAAAGCAAAACAACAAGATGCAACAAGCAAATGCAAAAGCAGAAAAGCAAAAAGGCACCTGGTCGGTCACAAGGCCCCATTCAAGCCGCCACGCTGTTGTCAAGGGAGATATGACCTGGCAAAGGATCTAGCTCCAAGCCTCCCTTCTTTCTAAGCTGGCGATCAAGTAGAAGCCCCTTCTGCGTACGGATGAGCTTAGCGGAGCTCTGCGAATCGTCATCTCTGCTGCTCGAAGGCATGCTGTACGGATTGAATCTTGTTGCGGGGAAAGCCCCTTGCACTTGCCAGGTGTGTCGGGTTCGAACTGGACACGCCGGATATGCGCTTTGACGCGCGGACTCGCGCATTCCAACCCGCGGATCCGCACACAGTTTGATTTGCGCACTGTTCTTTACGCACTGACATGGGGTTCGCGCACCAGCCGATTCGCACACCGGGACGGGAGATTCGCGCGCGGATGATTCGGGCACCGAAGCGACACTTTTTCAAACCTCAAGCTTAAACCTTGCAGCAAAACCAAACCCAATCAGAAGCCTAAAAGCCTTGACCATGAGAGCCCTCAGCCCTGAACAGCCTATCCTGTTCCCTAAGCGCTAAAGCGCAAATCATCCTAAAACCTTGAACTCCTAAACTCTAAGCCCCGAATCGGTAAACATCGCGAAACCCTGAGACCTGAATAGCAACCCCTAAGCACGGCCCCTCTAGTGTAAACCCGTGGAAAAAAACCTAAGAACCTTGAACTTTAAACCCTAAACGCTGCAAATCCTAGATGCCCATGAACCATGAACCCTAAACCCAAGCAAATACCCTCAGCCCGGAAACCCGAACCTTTAATTTGGAGGCAAGGGCCTAGCTGGGGTGGTAGGGGGTCAAAATGCTGCGCCCTTTCTTCTGGTGCTTGGGCTTTCGGGTTTGGCTGTCTTGGGGACAACTGTGAGATACAGTAGTACACAATTGTACACAATTGTACACAATTGTACACAATTGTACACAATTGTACACAATTGCCCCGGAAAGCAGCTGGAACTCACGGATGTCACAGCCTTGATCGCTTATGCTTGCGAAGTAAGGTTCCGGCATCCAGCTCCGAGGCTTCACCTCGATGGATAGCACAGGAGGATGTGGCCACTGGAACTCACAACGAGCCCTACGGCCCTACAGTGGCAGATGCAGTCGAGTCTCTGAAGAAGAAGCAAGCCAGGAGAAGTGCCTTGGCAGAGCTACTCATAGACAAAGCATATTGAAGACAGGCGGCGAGCCCGTCCTGCTGCAGTTGATACTGTCCGGCACCGGCTTCTTCAATGAAGTCCAGAACTGCCTGGAGTTCATAGGTAGAGACGAATGGAGACGAGACTGAGACGAGGGAGTGGAGAGCAGTTGTCCCCTGAACAAAGGCAGAAACCCTGACACCATACTGCAACAAACCGAAAGGGTCTGCGGGCAGAGTTAGGAATGGAGCACCAGCTAGGGCATCAGTTCGAGTTGCTGGTAGCATTAGCGCGATCAAGACAAAAAGAGTGGCTGCCCACACTTTGCCTGTTGCTGGATATCAGTTTTCTTGGACTCGATGGCTCGCCGCCTGGTTTCAGGATGGTACTGAGTAGCATGTGGTAGCTAAATTACCACACCAATGTCCCCGGAAAAGGATCGGAAAGGAAGGAGCAGAAGCATGAGAAAGCTGAGAGAAACCCAGCAAAGGCACCCAGACCAAGGCGCCTGGGCCTTCTGCGAGAACTCACGGCACCCAAAACTCCACCAGCTGCCAGGGCCACCTGAGGCTTCAGAGAAGCATGCGGTGGGCAACGAAGTGGAGCACCTTTCCCGGTCGCTGCCTCCGAGGACACTGCGGCAGGCTCCTCTCCACATCGGTGCACATTTGCCCTACAGAGGGAACGGTGAAATTTTGAGTCAGCCTGGCTTGTGGGCTTCGCTGTGGCCCGCCATACCGGTAGAGTCCGTTGAGTCCGCAGGGAACCCGCCCGCACCTCGTGATCACCACAGTGGTGGCATGAAAGAAGAGCATCGCTCTCCCCAAGGCACTGGCAAGCGATCTGCACGAGCTGCGTGGCAAGGTGTCCATGGCACGCTTGGTTGGATTGCCGTTTGTCGGACTGATTGGACTCTTCAGAACTCGAGGCCTCTGCTGAGACTACAATGACTACAACTTCCAGAATGCATTCGAGGCTTACAATTAGAAGCAAATCCCGATCGGATCCCGATGGCTGAAAGCAGCTTTACCTGCAACACCATTGCAGCGCTTCCTCAGATTCTATTCGATGGCTGCAGAGAACACGCGCGTGCCTGAAAAGCCCCTGAACACACCCAAGGGGTCTGTCCCCCCATGACCAGCATCGGCTAAGCTCCGCGCTTGGCCAGTGAAAGCACCAGCAGCTACGTCAGTGACGACGGCTTGGTGCACAATCTTGTGCTCCAGCACATCCAGCCAATGTGGCCGGTGACGGATTTGGCTTAAAGGCAACTGCTTGGCTGGCATACTCGAGAGCTCCTGCTCCCGCTTCTGAATCTCCCAGAAGACCTCATCATTATCATCATTCGGCCCAAAGGTGTGTAGGGCCTGAAGGGCTTGCTCAAGGGACTTCTCAGAGGATTGGATCAGACTGTTCACAGCTTCTAGGTGCCCGCATGCTGAGTCGGCAGAGTCGGCCGAAGATTCAGCAGATTCATCCCCTGCTCCCCAACGTAATACCTCGCCCTCGTCGTCTGCGTCATGTGAACTGACAGCTGAACTGACAGCCGAGGAGAAACTGGCACGGGCCTGCCTGGGCAGCCCCAACTGCGAGTTGCTTCCAGAGCGGCGCGGCGGGATCGCCAGCTGCGCCCGGGGTGACACGGCAGAAGCTGGACATGCGTCTCCTGGACGCCTTGTTGGGCTTGGGCCATCTGGGCCACCTGGATCTGGGCCACCTGGGCCGCCAGGGTCACCTGGCTCGCCTGGGTTACCCTCTTCAGCGTCGGCCTGGTCAAGCAAGAAGGCTCGCATTAACTCCGCACCCTCCACAAACCCAAGGGCTGCTTCCGCATCTTCCACCTTGGGCTCTTGCTCCTCAAGGGTGGTCCGGCATCGTCTGGCAGGAAGCAATGCTCGTCTGGACAGCATTGCAGGACTTCCCTGCGGCAGTTCAACCTGCGCAGCGGAACTCGCACCAAACTGAAGGACACCTTCGGTGAATCCTTCAGTGATGCCTTCGATGCTGCTTTCAGCTACTTCTTTGATGCCGCCGAACGCACCAAGCCATCCGTCACAGAACGGACCCAATGGGCCTTCAGGCCTCAGGGGCAACCAGAAGTTGCTTTCACCCCTAACCAAGCAAGCCAAGCACATCAGGAAGCTCTACTGTGCAGGACGCTACGACTCTACATTTACTGAACCATATCAACTTATGTGCCAAATACCGTGGAAGTGGTCCTGCGAAGGAAAGGCCGCCCCGCTGCACGATGTGCCCTTTCATAGGCCACACCTCCTCTTGCAGCCGGGGCTGTCCGTGCCGGCTTCTCAAAAGCTTCCCGCCAGGACGTTCGCAGCAGATCTTGCACTTGGCTTTTCCGAGCACCGAAGCTTTCTTCACGCAGGGCGAGCGGAGGACCTGCAGGTAGCCTTCGGAATGGCACGATATCGTCGGTACCGAACGTCCATTGCTGACCTTCCGGGCGACTCTGTGCTGCACTGGCGGGCCGATCGAGCCGTGCCGCAACAAGCGCGGCCACTCGCCCGAGGCTGCGTTTCCGAGCGGTTTTTTGGGCTTGACTGTGCCTTGTGTCACAAATTTGTGCCCGGGAATCGCAAACAACAGACGAAAAGCGGAATGAAGCAGACTCGCTGGATCCACACTTGCCACCATGCGATAGCGTGTACCCCATCTGGAGTCGTTTAAGAATGTAGATTCACCTCCAAAGAAACGATGTTCAGCATAAATTCTGCCATACTTCATTCTATGTTAGTGGCCGGCCGGGAGCTTGCATGAGTCTTGCTTTGATGTGAAACTTCCTTGAAGCCAAAGCTCAACCAAATTCTCAGCTAACAGACTCAATGGGCCGGCTTACAGTGACACGACGGCACAACGAACCTCGATGAAGTTATAGATTGCACGTAGCTGCTCCAGACTGGCCTGGCTCAGTTTTGGCTGCCTTCTGATCTGATGTCAAGGCACCAGACTGCCAGACTGCTTCGCCACTGCTTAGCCATGTACCGGGTCAAGCTCAGGGCTGACAGCAGCGGCGGCAACCACGGCCTGCACAGTCCACTTAAAGTCAAAAAACTATCAAAAGAAAGAAGCGAGTGAGCCCTCGCCAGCCTGCCATCTAGCCGGCAAGTCCTCTGCGCTTCCAGCTGTCTCAGTTGCTGGAAGGCCCTGTCTTGTGATGTGCAAACTGTGCAAGACGAGACGACTACATCTAGGCACTCATGTGCACCAGACCTTCTCCCCAGCCACTGCTGTCAGTCGACTGAGCGCCTTGAATCAGTTGTTGACTCACTGTTGACATGGGACAGACCCTGGAGCGATTTAACCGATTGAGCCTCAGCTACTTGGTCACTGGTGAACTGTAGATCCGGCATGCCTAGGCAGGATAAGATGACAAGCAGCACGTAGCAGCAGGACCGACTAAGACTAGCTGACTAGCCAGTAGTTGCTGCCTGCGCAGCAGGAAACGAAGCCGTAGGGTCCAGTGTGTTTGTGCAGCTGTGCGCGCACGTCTGCGCGACGCTAAAGTTGGTTCTGGCTAGGTGTTGACTTTAAGCGGGGCAGCATTCAAATTGTTTGGAGCACAGCCATGTCATTCACAGCGTGCGTAGAAAGGGTTTAGCTGTTGAGCTAGCCTTGTGATGCTGTCTCACTGAAGCTGAAGCTGGACACCGGAGGCACGTGCAGGCAAATCATTACTTTCCCCAGTAACAAGGACACAAAGATCGCAATTTCTCATGAGAATCTGCCCGTTCACCATGACTTACACAGCACTCTCAACACTCTTGGACACTGCCGAGCTCTGTCTGCAGAACCGGCGCCCTGCCACAACTCAGGTCGGAGGCTTTTTCACTGCTGGCAGCTCCCGGTCTTTGCGGGTCCACAGCACTACTTCAGTGACGGCAGCTGTGGCCTGGAACACGCTTCCAAGGCATTGCAAAGGTTCACCAGGGTTCCACGCTGAAGCGATCGTGGCTCTCCGCTCAGGGCAGGGCAAGGCTGCAACAGCAGCCATCAGATTCCCTTCGTCTTTGGCGAAGTCCTGAGGTCCCACTTACATCCACTTACTATCTGCAAGGCCGCGCGATGCAGAACGAAACGAAGCGCGGAAGCGCACACAACACACAACACACAACACACAACACACAACACACAACACACAACACACAACACACAACACACAACACACAACACACAACACACAACACACAACACACAACACACACACACACACACACAGAGACAACAAAGGAACTGAAACCAACAAGGCGTACAGCAAGCTCTCCTCTGCGGACTGCCGTCGACGGTCACCATCAGATCGAACTTTGTCCGTCAAGATAGTACCAGACTGCTCTGCCTCAGACAAGTCGAACGGAGCGAGGGACTCAAGAAAACAGCTCAGCTTGAAGCCGCCTCCTGCACACGATGTTGAATTTGCCACATCAAGTCTTCGGCATGGTCTGAGAATCCTGCAACCTGAACGAGTCTTAATGACTAAAGCGTCCCGACATGTTGAATCACAACAAGGTACGTCTGGTACAACACAGGGTACCACGGCGTCAACCACAGCACAGTGTCACTGCAAGTGGACACTTTTCTGGAGCTGCGTCTGCATGGATTGGCAGGGTCGGGCTCGGGAGTTGAAATCGGAAATCTCCGCAAAGCGTAACGACTGAATGACAGCACGTGCCCCTACTACGATCTGGCAGCCTTCAAGTCTACAGAAGCAAATCAAACCTCTGAGCTGCAATTCTGGTCGTATGCAGTGAATGGAACATGCTGTGGTCGAACGGCTCCAAAAACGAGTAGCTCAGGGTCATCAGGCACTGAGACAACTATGCAGGCTTGCCGGATCGGCACCATGACCAGTGAAACGAAGCGCGACCTTCCACCCGTCCAGGGCAACATCACCTGCAGCAAACATTTCGGACTCACCTGTCCCAGTGCCAGTCGTGCATGACGTGGTCACTCCCTTTCTTTTGAGATGTACGACAAGCATTGCTCCTTCAGTGTTTTGGGGTTGACACCCTCAACTCATTTAGGTTTCCGGCATTCCTTTTCGGCCCGCTATACCTCACATTGACTGCCTTCATGATTGGGGTGATTCGGGTCACCACTTTGGTTCGCGAAAAGCACAACTCGTTCACGTTCCAGGTTCGGTGCTTGCGAAATGCAATGCTTCAGCAACCCCAGCAACTTTAAAAGGGTTAACAGGCAGCTAACTTGAGTGCCTCGACGCCAGGCGATCGACCAAGTTCTTCTGAGCTTGGCGTGCAATGTCGGCAATTGCCTGGCAGACGCGAGCAGTGGCACACAGTGTCACGCAGTGAAGCACAGCGTAATACAATGCAACACAGCATAATACAGTGTAACACAGCGCCACACACTGTAATACAGTGCAACGGAGTGTTCCATAGTGTCACTTAGAGTCACATAAGGAAACGAGCGCAACAGTGTTGTCCAGCTTCCCCGCTGCCTGAAACGGGCGATCGTTGATGGGAGTCAAGCGGAGGCCTCCGTTGCGTAGGCAGCCCCAAAGAGCAGCATGGAACAACTTACGACGACCCAATCTGAGACAAGTTTTCTCAAACACATCCATACAGAGAGTCTCTAGTTTCCCTGGGTTTCAACAAGCAAAGTGTCAAGCAGTCTGGAGGCGTCTGGCTCTGGCCCTGGTAGTTTCCCTATTGGTCGCAGACCTTGCCAAGAACCCTTGTGAGGCGGCTGGGACTCCTAAAATCTGCATTGGGGAGCTTGATCGTTTGTGCAACTGACCTTTGGCCAACGCGAGTCCGTCGATGTTTCTGCATTTTGGACCACTGCGCACAACAAAGCCATTTCACGGACACATACACACACACACACAGACACACACACACACACACACACACACACACACACACACACACACACACACACACACACACACACACACAAAGCAACCGACATCACCAAGGAGGAACAGGACAGAGTCACAAACGGCGCGGCGGGCCTAGATCCCGGGACATGTACTAATTCACGAGGTCACATCTGCGGGCTTTGGCGAGGGAGTATCGTTTCATGGCAATCCACTCATACTGATCATCACTCAGACGGCTGTGCCAATCTCTTGAAAAAGTTGGGAGAATGACAATCAAGTGCAATGAGTGCCCCCCCCCCTTGAAAATCAAACAACGCTGTGTACGAACTGGTCGGGACTGCACGGGTTCATGCCCAGCTATGCAACCATGGGCCATGTTTCTTGTTTCATCCGGCCCTTCCCGAGCCGGACGCACACAGGTTGCAAACCGAAGTTGCACACCAACTAAACAAAGCGACTCGAGCCCTGAACGACGGATTTGCAAACAGGGTTGGTTCGCGCAGTGACAGGGCGCAGTGACAGGGCCGATGCGCGCACCGGCCGATTCGTGCCCGAAAACCATCGGTGCAGAGTTTTGAGTTAGCTGAAAGGATATGAGCGGATGAATACACGCCAGCCGCGACAAGCGAGGAAACCTAAGATGGCGGCGAAGAGCGGACCCCAAACCCTAAAACCCCTCAACCACCTGAAGCCCTAAAGACACTGATCCCCAACCACCCTCAGGCCTCAAAACCCAAAGAACCATCAACTTGGACGGCTAGCGCACACGTTGCGGAGGTTGTTGCCATGAGGTGTGCCCTCGTCATAGCAATGCGTGCAATGTTGACGTGCTTAGGCTTGACACTTGGCTTCAAACACGAAGCGGCTCACACCGTGAAATCCAAAGAACGGACTGACGGATCTGCCAAGAATCATTGTATCACGGCGTGCACGTTACGTCAAGGCTTGGCATGCATTGTGTGGGAGATTGGGCTTGGCTGGCTACTACATCTCGGTTGGAAGCCGATTCGCACGCTAAATAGCAAACCGATTCTCGCCCTTAACGGCAGACTTGCAAAGAATTCGCGCACACACACACGGAGGACGAGGCCGGCGAAGGGGTTCCGGATAGAACCCTGCACCCCAAAGCCCTTAAGGCCGAAAACACCCTAACCCCTAACCCCCCCCCAAAAAAGAATGCACTTAAAACCCGAAACCCAAAAAGAACAGACCTAAAAAGATCTAAAAACCTAAACGCACAACCCTAGAACCACAATCGCGAGCAAGCTTGAATGACTGAATCGCCGATGCTTGAATGTTTGAATTGGGCAACTCGAAGCGGCCGTGCCCTTATAGGTGTCCAAGTAGCCAGGACTCTGTTGGGCAGGCCCAGTGCAGTGATTCAGCATGGGTTGTTGGCACTCGCAAGAAGCTCCAATTAGGCTTTTGGCTGACCGCCGCCAATTGCCAGACTGCTGCACACAGCAGTGTGCTGCAAGCATGACCCGTTATGGTGAATCAAGCATAGGAGGATGCACGGCCGATTCTTTGCATGACAGCTTCAGCCAACCATCTTGCGACAAATGAACGCCTTACCTGTCTGTGGTCTGTGGCTCTTCTTGTTTCTGTGCTCTTTGTGACAAGTGCCGAATGGAGTTGCCGGCACGGTTCGGCTAGGATCTGTGAGGGGAAAAGCAAGGGGGCACCGCTCAAGACGTTTCAGGTGCCCCAAAAGACTTCCGACGAAACATCACTCAAACATATTCAAACATCAATGCTGGAGGACTGCCGCACACAACGTTAAGTCGTCGACCGTCGTAAGGATCCCAGGGTGCTTGGACTGCTTGGGCCTCAGATTCACACAAAGCTCACCATGTAGGCAAGTAAGGCTGAAGAATGGCCGAGCTGCCTCCAGCAAAGGCCTTGAGAGTGCAGATGGTAAAACTTGACATAACGTTCTTGGGCTTTGCCTTGGCTTCCCCTTTGCCTTGGCCCCCGGCCGCAAGGGCTTCTGCTCCTTCTCCAGATTCACCAGGCTGAGGTCTATAGTACTTCTGGCGCTGGGCAACTGCCACCTGCACCCCAACATCCCCAAGAACCCTGACTGCAGCTGCGGTGCAAGATAGCGCAAAAGATGGTGCGAAAAAAAAGATGGTGCAAAACACAATGCAAGCCTCCGCGCGCTAGGCAATGCTTGCACCTCTTGCACCTGGCCTCTGCAGGGATCAGATAGATCTCTGCAGAACACATTCTTGCAGAACATGCAGACATCCCAGTGCAAGACAACGCCAAGTCAATGCAGCTCTCCTGCACTTCCATCGATTCCAGTCCTCAAAGCCGTCTTGGGTATGCAGGCCTCGGTTACGCACATCACATGACCGTGTAGAACCCATCTCAACATCGAGGCGGCGACAGGAGCCGGTGGCGGTGCCAAGTATCTGCAAAGCTCAACAAATGATGTCACATGAACCCGGCTGGCTGCTGCCGCTCCCAACGCCCCACCTCGGATGCGTTGCCACTGCCTCAACCTGCTCCAAGTGGATTCGATGTTGCTGAGAAACTGGATGCACTACTGGGCATTAGGATCATTAATTATTAGGACCTGTGCCAACAGCATCGAATAGACATTTCTCAAATGTATTTTCACCTCCACGCGGTTCGGAGAGATCGGGGACAGCGGCGTCCGTGTCATTGTCGAAGCAACCGAGAAGCTTGTGTCCAACTGCAGCAGCAAACATCGCATTTGCAGCCAAAGCAGTCTTTTTTCACATCACATTTACAATGGGAGCTGGTCTGACAGGCTTGCCATTCCAGCTGCCGACGCACCAGGATTCACATTCGGCCTCATGGCGTCTCATATGTCATATTTACGAAACGCAAACTCGCAGCACAATAGTTGCCGCGCCTGGGACACGTCACTGGGATCTTGGTGCTGACCTTCTTGTGTCCAGCACGTCAAAACAAAACGCGTCACCGGGAACCATGCTTAAACTACCTATCTTTCTTAAGACAAGAAGCGAGGGAAGCCATGGGCGCGTGGAGCTTCGCGCCAGAACCGACATTGTGGAAGTTGGTCGAGGTCTTACTTCGGTCCGGACTTTGCAGGGTCGAGGTAGATTCCGGGGATGCTTTCTGGGTGACCGGGCACATTGGCACGGTTGGCACAGGTCCAGCTGGCCTAGTTGGCACTGCAGGATTTGCAGCTTGGGCTGGGCGGACAGTGTGCACTGCCAATTGGGGGGCACAAAGGCCGCGGCAGCAGCCGAAGTGGTAATGGTGGTGATAATAATAGTAATGATTATGACACACCCCGCATGTGGGAGAAGACTGCACATGGTGCCTCTCTCCCACAGAGCTGGGGGCGGTGGACACGGCGGCGCTTGCACTGCTGTGCAAGGAGGAGGCTTGGAGCCCTCGGACAGGGTAGGCCATCGGTGCTCAGCTACTAAAAGATAATTCTCCTAGGCCAACCCCGTTCGTAACACATGGGCACTCCGAGAGCTGTCCACCTCAAACTGTCAAAGAACTGCTGTGTTAGAGGATGACTTCACCACATCGGACCAAACATGTGCTCGAGCTTCTAGTCTTCTAGCGTCGCTGTTATCATATTATATGGCATGATGCGAGCTGTCTTGGGAATTGAAATTGCGCTTCACGCATGCAGCTTGACATGCCGACCGTCTGCAACAAACACAGGGACTGTCACGCAAATGGCAGAAGTCTCACCTGCCGTTGCAGCATCGCTTGCAGAACTTTAGCATCAGACCTCGTGGGCTGCTGAAGCAAAAACGAACGCAAGCAGCTAGCATTCCACCATCGAGCTTTCCAGGTACAAGTTCGTCAAACTTGGCAGCGGGCAAGGCTTTTTGCACGGTTTCCAAACCTTGCTCCTCATCCATCCATAACAGTTTGCTTCTTAGAACTTCTCTACCATATGAACCTAAACTGGTAAGATGTGAAGGTTCCTCCACAGAGCCAATAGCAACTGCAAATCTATACACTCTGCACAAACCTGAGGCAGAGAAACACATGTCCATGGAGAAGCCACAACCAACACACTGTCTTCATACGTTACGCAATTACTCATAAGCATGGATGCATCATCACGAAAACTCCAAACCCCTCCTCCAACAGTGCTCGATGCTCTGCTTCGCGTATTTTGGTGTGCACCTGCAATTATAGATCACGAGGATGCCCCGTAGGATGAAGTTGCAATGCGGGTCTTAAGAACCTACTTAGTTCAGACGTAGCCTCGAGCTCTAACTCCCGTCGACGTCGGCCCAGCTGCAGCAAGTGTCGTTCCCTTTCTGCGGGAAGTGCCTGTGTCACATGCATCACTTTCAATGACGTGTGTATTCGGGAACTTGCCCGCGCCCGCGTCAGCGAGTCTTTCTCAAGCTTGATCGCGGCGGCTTTGTTCTCGGCATCCGCTATGCGGACTGAGCCAGCATGCTCCTGCAAGGTCTTTGATGCCGTGCTGAATTCGCGATGCTCACGAGCCACAGGGCGACTAGCGCCTGTGCCATGCACTCCCGTTCCAGGTGGGACACTGTTTCGGATGTCTCACCAACCTGGCCATCACGGCACATGACGGCAGATGGACAAACTGAGGCTGGGATCTGAGATGCACACCATAATCCATTGTGCTTGGCGATCGAACATTGCCGGCATGTAAGTGCTGATGCCAGTGTGGGTTGTTAGCGGAAGTTGAATACACAGCTTTGCAAAAGCGGCTTGACATGCAACAAAACTGACGTGTAGCTGCTCCCGCTGATCCACGAAAGCAATTTCGCCAAATGATTACACAATCAAACAATCATGCAAGACGAGAAGCAAGCCACCGATGTCAACACAAAACCTTCAATTTGCTACAAATTTTGTAATTCCACCAACATGAACTTATGAATGTGAAATGGACACTTGTCCGGCAGCACTTACGCACAAACTCTTCCCCAATCACTGACTGCCACAAAAACAAAACAGGAAAAAACGCTTCCACACTTCCAACAAGAGACTGACTGCGTCACTCCGCTGAGGGTTCAGCCCCAATGCGTGGAGAGGTAATCATGGCGCATACAGAAGGAAAGGAGGCAGCGCACACAGAAGGGAAGCAGGGCACGCGCGGCTAGCTTAAACGGGATAGCCCGAAACCCTAAACCCTAAACCCTAAACCCCAAAAACCCAAACCCCAAACCCCAAACCCCAAACCCCAAACCCCAAACCCTAAACCCTAAACCTTCAACCCTAAACCCTAAACCCTAAACCCTAACCCCTAACCCTAAACCCTAAACCCTAAACCCGAAACCCCAAAAAACCCAAACCCTAAACCCTAAACCCTAAACCCTAAACCCTAAACCCTAAACCCTAAACCCTAAACCCTCAACCCAAACCCTAAACCCTAAACCCTAAACCCTAAACCCTAAACCCTAAACCCTAAACCCTCTTTTTGCTATGTATATTTAAACCCTAATGACCTTCGTGGGCATGTGGTTTTTTTCTGGGCCCTAAACCCTGACCCTCTTCGTGGGCAAATGGTTTTTTTCCTGGGCCGTGCCTCCAAAAACACCCCAAATGAGGGGGACCCCAGGATCGGCCCAGATCCCAGTTCAAAATGCGATTTTTTAGTTCTGAAATCGACGGTTCTGGGTGGCTCTCGTTTTCTGGGTTTTTGATCAAAACCGAGCCTTTGGGCCCCCCTGACCCCCTTGTGGGCACATGGTTTTTTTCCACCCGGGAGGCCCCAAACCCTGACGCCCTTTTTCCACCCGGAGGGACCCTAAACCCTGACCCCCTTCGTGGGCAAATGGTTTTTTCCACCCCAGGGGGGCCCTAAACCCTAACCCCCTTCGTGGGCAAATGGTTTTTTTCCACCCGGGGGGGGCCCTCCCTGGAACGACGCTCGCTTGCGGCGTTGGCGGCGCTTGCCGTGTGCAGGCAAACGTTCCCGAGCCTGCTTACTGCGGCACCGCTTGCCGTGTGCAGGCAAGCGTGCCCGCTTGCACTTAAATCCTGCCCAATCGGGCCTGGAATTTTACACAGTCCCCCCAAAACCCCGCTGCTTCTCTGTGCGAAAATTCTCATACAAGCACAGTCCCCCCAAAACCCCGCTGCTTCTCTGTGCGAAAATTCTCATACAAGCACAGTCCCCCCAAAACCCCGCTGCTTCTCTGTGCGAAAATTCTCATACAAGCACAGTCCCCCCAAAACCCCGCTGCTTCTCTGTGCGAAAATTCTCATACAAGCACAGTCCCCCCAAAACCCCGCTGCTTCTCTGTGCGAATACTCTCATAGAAGCACAGTCCCCCCAAAACCCCGCTGCTTTTCTGTGCGAAATTCTCATACAAGCACAGTCCCCCCAAAACCCCGCTGCTTCTCTGTGCGAAAATTCTCATACAAGCACAGTCCCCCCAAAACCCCGCTGCTTCTCTGTGCGAAAATTCTCATGCAAGCACAGTCCCCCCCAAAACCCCGCTGCTTCTCTGTGCGAAAATTGTCATACAAGCACAGTCCCCCCAAAACCCCGCTGTTTCCCTGTGCGAAAATTCTCATACAAGCACAGTCCCCCCAAAACCCTGCTGCTTCTTGTGCGAAAATTCTCATATAAGCACAGTCCCCCCAAAACCCCGCTGCTTTTCTGTGCGAAAATTCTCGTGCAAGCACAGTCCCCCCCAAAACCCCGCTGCTTCTCTGTGCGAAAATTCTCATACAAGCACAGTCCCCCCAAAACCCCGCTGCTTCTCTGTGCGAACATTCTTTCTCATCAAGCACAGTCCTCCCAAAACCCCACTGTTTCTCTGTCCGCACATGCCAGACGTACACAAATTTACATGCACACATGCCTACATGCATACACGCGTACACACATACGCAGACATGCATACACGCAAACACGCATACATGCACACATACATGCAACATGCACTCTGTGCATGCAGACACACACACACAGACACGCACACAGACACACACAGACACACACAGACACAGACAGACACAGACACACGACACACACACAGACACAGACAAGACAGACAGACACAGAACAGACAGACACAGGTCAACGAACAAATTTTGTCTGGAACCTTTTTTGTCTCTGCTTCATTCTCAGACTTTATCTGCTCCGACTCCGACCTGCAGAATGCTTGGCTCCGCGCCCCAAAGTCGGACAGGCCTGCAAGTGCAAGACACCCTCTAGTTTATTTTTTTTGGGTTTCCTGCAAGCAAGACACCTCTGGTTTATTTTTTTAAGTTTCCTGCAAAAAATAGTCTAAGACACCCTTTTATTTTCTTTTAAATCTTGGTAAAAAAACATTCTCTGGTTATTTTTTTTTGTTTTCTGTCAAGTATCAAAAAGACACCTTTTGGTGCTCCAAACTCTCACCCTTCCAAGCCTTCCAAGATCTTCCCCTTGTCCTTGCCTTTGAAGTAAAGCCCCTTTCGTCCTCACCTTCGAAGCCTTCGAAGCCCCTCGTTCTCACCTTTCGAAGCCTTCGAAGCCTTCATTCTTGACCCTTCAAAGCCTTTTGAAGCCTTTGTCCTTACCTTTGATCTTGGACTATTGGTTTTCCGGGGAGCAGCCACCAACAGCTGCTCTTCAACTTGCACTGCGCCGCACCACAGTCCTACTGACAGTTTCTCAGTAGCACCAGTCAATGAGCTTTACGACACTGATGCCTCTGGTTATTTGTGTCCAGGCAGATCCACCAGGGTTGGGCCAAATCTTTTCTACCTGATTCTACCTGCGAAGAAAATCCTGTTGTGCTCAGCTTGCCGATCCCCGAAAACCTGCAAGCTTGGGCTCGAGCACACCGCTATTGTTCGGGACGCTCCTGTCACCACTGTAAGGATGCCGCTTGCAGTGCGACGTTGGCCTGCACTGTCTGCAGCGTGCCTGGCCGTTTTCCCCCGTGTTTCGGTCTCACCTTCGTTTTCCACACAAGTGTGCGAGGAACCCAAACTTCACCTTCAGCACAGCCGTCACCCCTCAACCTCTTTGTCTCTCCAAATCACACACCCTTCAACACCCGCGTACTTCCACACTTGAACAGCCAGCAGAACCCAGCCGGACACGCAAACACACAAAGCCACTTTGCACCCACAAAATGACACACACCCAGACTCCATGACACACACGACCTCTTGACCTAAAACGTCGAACGTCGACGTGGTTTCTCGAAACTCTCTCTCTGAAAGCTTGCGACTCAACCAAGAAATCATCCGGACAAAAAACAAAGAAAACATTGAACAAAAAGGCTTGTCCAGTGAGAAGCATTGACTGTTGTTCCCTCAGCGGAGGCGAGGCCGAACAACCATTCCGCTGCATCTGCGCAGCCAGGCCCTCAGCTCCTCACTGAGCCAGGGCTATCTCTAGACAGAGTTCCCTTGCTGGCAAGCCCTCTATCTCTACGTGACCCCCGCGGTGCCACGTATAAGCAGCTGCTCCGCGTGTCTTAGGACCACAGTTTTCATTCGGATTTGTTGTTGCAGGCCTTCCAGTGCTTGAGGCCGAATCCAAACACCACATCTCACGTCACACGGCGAGGCAATTTGGCTCCAACATCTGAAGATAGTGACACATACTCTGCGTGGCGTCCGCGTGAGCTAGCCTGTCCGAGAGTTTAGGAGTTCGGCTCCTTTCATCGCTTGTCTTACCACAGGTCTCTTTCGGTGGCCCGTACTCAGCAGCTAGCACATGTACCATCCTCAGACGCCAGAGCCGCCTTGCCCCAGCAAGTGCCCATACAAACCACTCACCAGACAGTGAGAGCCAACATCTTCAAACTATGCCGCGAGGACCTGAACATCTGCAAGGTTCCGCCTTGTCTGTGTGCACGGACAGACCCCAGCCCTTGCAGGAGACGTGGATGTAAACAAAAGCAGGTCTGCCATGTCCAGCAGGCTGATTACCATTGGTTGCCTTCAGATGGGAAAAGCGCGAAGATCGGGTAACCTCCATCTGAATCCTTTCCGGCCAATACCAACCCTTACAAACCCTCAGCACAGAGCGAGGCCGAAGGAGGCTTTCCCTTTCCTCCTTCCCCTTTCCTCCCCCCTCCCTTTGACCGGCTTCGAAGGCTTCAATCGCCGAAAGGTAGGGCATCCCTTATCTTGCCGCTTACAGCGGCGCAGAAGCAAATCTTTCCAACTCACGCGAAAAAAGTTCTAATAATTTGTTTGTTTGTTGACATTCACCGCAGGTGGTTTGCTGATCCCGCAGCATTGGCACAACTCTAAGGCAACGCTTCTTGACTTTGAGCTGCTTTTTTTTGTCTGGAAAGGTTAAGTTTCTGGGCAACGGAGGCAGAAACAAAAATGCGGACTGTCTTTTACTTGTGTGCAAAATTTGGTGTCCAGTCGGACTGCACTTGCTCGTGCAAGCTGCCTTTTTTCGAGTAGCTTTGTCTTGCATGGAGTTTTCAATTGTATGACCATTACTTAATCCATCGTCGACTTTGATGGTTCTTTTATTTGACGGGCTGCCTGATTTTGTCTTTGAGCTTCTGCGCTCAATATGGCTGGGCAGCTTGGCCTCGTTGTTTGGAGCTGGCATTTGCCATCCAAGCACAAGAACATCTTTTTCCAAGGCATGGGGCCAGATGCTTGGCTGGGATATGCAAACTACTTGCTTGGACCGGTGCACTTGCTGCAGGTCCTGGTCACCGGGAAGGGGCGGGATGGATCAAATGCCATTGAAACCGCCAGAAAAGAAACAATCAAGAGAGCTTTTTGTAATTCCCGCCTCCTGCGCAAGTCTTCGGGTGACACATAGTGCACAAAAGAACAGTATTTCACTCTGGCTGGACAATGGCACAGGTAACACCTCTGGGGCAAAGGCACACGCAAAGAGATGACAAAGGACGTGCGATCAAAAGAACAAGGACAAGAAAGGAAAGGACCTAAAGGGTTGTAAGGGAAGCGTGAGAGCGCTTGAACGCAAGACGGAAGGTGTGTCTGCTTTGACTTCTCCAGGCCAGGATGTGATGGGAACTGCGGCATGGTTTACTACTGCATGGTCAAAGAATTCCACGGGCGCCTTGAATGGTCAACCAAAAATGAAACAAAAAGGTCCCCCTTGAAGCCCCCTTAAAGTTCCCTTGAAGTCCACTTGTGATGCGTTCCAATGTTCTTGTTGTTTCTTGGTCTCAAATGTGGCCGCACGATACCATGTTTTTCAGTGGTTTTTCCACGGGCAGCCCGCAAAAGTTGGAAAAAGCTCCTGATCAGGTTTTTTTGAAGCCAACCGTATGACCCTTGCATGTGCCGAGCCCCCAATGGCAATGTTGGTGCCGATGCGCCCGACCCAAACATGTGGTGCATGCTTTGCGTGTCTCCGCAAAATTGAAAGCATCCAAACAATCAGGCACATGCATGCCACGTGCATGCCTTGCTGCAGCGTCATGCATAAAGACGCGTGTGAGTCGGCGCTTGGACGGGCCATCTCCGCACCCTGCCATGTAGTTGCTCTAATGCTCTAACTGTCCGTCCTGCAGAAGACATTTCTAAGCTTGGCATAACCTGTGCAGGAACCTGCAACATTTGGGATTCAGGGCAAGCAGCTTGCTCTACTGAAAAGAAGGAGTGTTTGTGTGTGGCCCGTCAACTTTATGATGCTTTGGATGGTCGTGTGCAAAGCTGCGCTCATGATGCTCTTCTCAAAATGAACGCGGTTTGGGGGCAAAGACTGTTGGAGAACTTGTTTTTCCGTTTGCGTGCACACGGGAGCTGGCGATGAAGCTGGCAACAAACATGTCTCAGTCAGCTTCTACACGACGAACTTTCCGAATTGGCTCAAGGAACAAAATGGAGTGCGAGTGGGGTTTTAAGAGCTGTTAGGGGTTTGGGGTTGTCCCTCGTATCCCCTTTAGCCTTGTGTTTCTGTTCGGGTGTTGCAATGGATTCCTGACTTGAAGCCTCACCGGCTATATCCATTTTCTAGAGTTTCAGATTCGACGTCTTCACCTTTTCATGGTGTACAACAACAGTTTTCAAGGATCAGACACAAACTTGGCGCGTAGACTGGCTTGTTCTTGGTTTTGTTGCCTTTTTCTGGCGATCCGTTTCACACCGAGTTGAAAAACCCACAAGAACGGCCTCCTGCTACTGATGTAAAGTGCAGGATGTTGCAGCGCCGGCAGTCAAGGGTGGGGCCCTTATCAATTGAAGTGCACGTTGAGGTCTAAATGGTTGGGAGCGTTCACTTGGCTGACATGCAACATTCTTCGAGCCTCAGACTTTGCTGGCCGACATGAATTTTCCGCTCAGCACGGAGGCTGTCGAGGAGGATGTTGGATGATGAAAGCTGCATCAACACTGCGTCCAACATTGCAGACGAACCCTTGAGGGGGGTCGTGCGTGATACCGTGGGAAGAAGGTTCGAAGTTGATGTTCTCAGCGTTGTGCAAGGTCAGCGTTGGAACCTTGGAGAGCGTGCAACACGTGATGTTGCGTGCGTCATGATGTTCCGAAGTGCTCACCGTTGGCGTGCACTTGCGCAGTGGGACATCCCGAACTGTGCTTCGAAACACGGACTCTTCCCATTGCACTCGGCGTGAGCCTGGCAGAAATAAATGTGCGTCGTGCTTCTTAGATCATGTCAGCTGCTTTCCTGCAGATGAGACGTAGTGACCACTCGTAGCTCAGAAGGAATAGTCCAGGGCTTGCGGTAGAGGCGCAATGAAAGAACAGTCAAGATCCCGGTAAAAAAAAAACAAGAGGTCATAGGCTGACTCGATCAGAAGACCTCCTTGCGGGGCTGGGAGGCTAAGAGCCATAAGCTAGCCACGCAAGCTGTTGTTTCATACGACAAAACAAACCGCAACAGCTTGGTTGCGCGTAGGTAAGTTCCCTTCCCTTGCATTGACGCAGGCACGCTCGACACTGATCGTCTCTAATTGGCAAATTGTCTGCAAATGAAGTAAGCATCCGCTTCCTCAGCAATTCCCAGCGGAGGACGTCGCAGCGGGTGACATTAGGGACCAGCTGTTGCATTTATCGTGCTGCGTTTCTCGAAACTGCCCCGTGCTTAGTCTGAACAGCTGCCAGTGGCATTCCTTGTCGCAGGCCTCGGCGGATAACTCTTTCTGCGTCTTGGTCCTTCTAGTTGTAGTCGAGGGCGCGGGTCAGACTTCCGAGTCTTCGCTCGAATTCCGAGCCTTTTTGCTAAGCGAGTTGGTGCCCTGCGGCGCACCACTCCCGGACCTACTTATGGGATCCTCATTTTTTGTGACGTGCAAAGCCTCCGCTTCTTCCAGAATAAGCTAGCTTTGTTGGAGCCACGGCGTCACGGCAGCGCACTCGCGGCCTTGGACCCGTGGTCCTAATGTCGCCGCGAGACCGCCAAGACTTCAGCGCCTGCTTTCAATGGCATCTTGCGCGCGGTTGGGGTTAACCCAACTTTAACCCTGGCTCCTGAGAAAAGGAGCTTAGGCAAGAGGCTGGGACTGGGGTTAACCGAACCTCTCGGTCCGGAAACTGCTCAACCTCAGACGGGTAAGGTTGGGGTTTGGAAAACCCGAACCCTCACCCCAGATCAGGTTGGAGTCAGGGTTAGCTCGAACTCCAACCCGAGGAGTTGGGAGGAGGATTGATGTTGGGGTTAACCCCAGTCCTGCTTCGGGGAGGGGTTAAGGTTGGAGTTAACCCGTTCGGCTATCTGTTATCCTGAACTCTACCTCAGATTAGGGTTTGAGTTGAACTCGGACTCCAACCCGGTTGGGGTTCGGGTTAACCCAAACCTCAACCTAGGTTAGGGTTAACGTGCATGATCCAGTGTTCACTTGTGTTGGCTCCAAATCCACACAAGATACAAGGGGAGGTTCAACTCCGCACCCAAATCCCGAAGCCCGGAACCTTGCCAAATCTGTCCAAGCGAACATGGCATCTTGTCAGAGGGGATGGCGGAGAATGTGTCGCTCCAAGCCCGCTTTTCTCGTTGAAGGCCTTGTTGAACGTCTATATGCTTGGTTGCTGGATCAGGTTTGGCATTTATTTTGCAACGTGTAAAACCAATGAAGCCTTGTCTTTGCAGTTTTGAACATCCCCTAAACCGTATAGCTGCTTTTGTGAACGGGAGACGCCGATGACATTGTGCTGGTGGCGGTTATGTGGAGATTGTTTTGGGTGGCCATGTTGTAAGCACTGGCTCAGAGGTTAGAACGTCTCAATGTGCCAACAAGTGTGGTCACGTTATCCGAGCTCAGCAGGATCCGCTTCTGAGTTGATTGCATAAAGATCACCGCGTTTAGAACGTTGGCCTCGTAGTGACAACACCAAGCACATCGTGCGGATTGGGATGGAATATCACAGACTTTAGCATTGTGAAGACGTTCGAGGAGGCGTCAGAGGAGAATCACAAAGCTAGCCTGTGTTTTCTCACTGGTTGCATGGGGCCATGTCGTTGCGTTTGCTGCAAAAGGCATCAAAGTTGCAAAAGGCCACTTCTTACAGCCTGTATTCCAGATAGCTGATACAACTCAGGCGACAAGCGATGTTGGTAGCTTGGACGTGCTGTGATGGAGTTCTACAGGTGCACATGTGTGCACTTGAGCTGCTGTGTTAGGTCGGAGCCAACCGCGGGAGAGGGAAAGGAAGAGGCGTGATCAGCAGCAGTCTGTAGCACTTTTCAGGAAAGGATTGCTGCTTCTGATGTCCAGGTGCCAAGCGCGCAACCCCGATGAGTCTGCAGCACTTCCATGAGCTTTTTGGCTTGACAATCAGGAGATATCATGGCGCCTAGAACTGCCCATTCCTACAGGCAAACTGGCAATGGTTCAGCCGCTGGAAGTGCAAGACCGTCAGCATGGTCGAAAGGTGCCAAAAGTGTAAGCACAGATAAAAAAGGTTGCGTTTCTTTCATGCGATGAGTCGTGCAAACCGGCCTTCCTCGGGAGGCGGCTCCCAATCATCAGGTGCTTTGGCAGAGGACGCTGCTTCAATATGCTTCAAGCCATGTAAGTACTGGAAAGAACATTCCTGTGCGAGGAAGCAGTAGATGCAAGGACAGCGCGCCTCGAACTTGGCATTGTGTCCTACGGCTAGCGGCTAGGCTAGGATGTCGAGCCAAGTCAGGTCCTTCAGGAACGTTTTCTGCCTGGGCAAAGGGTGCAGTCCTTGGCCCTTGGCATCACAGAAGTTTGCAGCTTTTCAAGATGAGCGGGATCAGCCAAGTGCGGACTGCAGATGACGCTCGTTGATTTCACATTGCATGCCGTCAGCTATGCATCAGACAGGGAACCTCTCAAAGCTCTTGCGCCATTTCGTCCTCTTGTTTTTCCTGCACCTCTGGCACGGCCACTTCACCAGACCCTTTGCCTGCACAAGTCCAAGGAGTGAAAGGAGTGAAAGGAGTGAAAGGAGTGAAAGGAGGAGGCTGCTTCTGCCAGAGCAGCACAGACTTGAAGGAGTTGAGTTGGCACGCTTTCAGGGCGAACGATGTTTTGGCATCGCAGTGGATTCGGATGCATGCCGAGTGCATGCCCTTCACCTCGCAAGCGGCTCTGCCCTGTACACATTTCAGTGCGACCGCCTAGATTCGCGGCACGCAGATCTCGTTGGGCAGGTCTTGAACAAGACCTCCTGCCGCAAAGTGGGGGTTGGACTTGCGGGCAAACTAGAAGCATTACTGGGGACATTTCCGTACTTGCAGCTTGAGTCTTGGCTGGATCTATCAGAGCACCTGTGGGCAAACTCAATCACTACCGAGCGTTTAAGCTTGGAGGACATGTCTCAATGGCTGTTGCGCCGAACGTGCACTCACGGTAAGCCTGAGAAGCCTCGAGCTGCGGAGTCTCCTGGAGCTTGGGATCCGGACACATCGGATACATCAGAAACATCCGACACGGCTTTAGAAGCTACTGAGAGCAGGGACCTTTGGCCACGCGTGGAAGGTCTGGTCAACCTGCGTCAGATTCAGGATCGACTGAGCCGTGGTGTCAGTTGACAGAGTAAGCCTTTACTTGCTGCGAGAAAAGTTAGGAATCGTGCCGTTCTGTTCGGCAGTCGCGTGGTGTGTATTCTCAATCCAGTTGTAATGTCCTTTGCAAAGCGCCGTCGGAAACTGCAAACACCCGAGCCTGAGGTCCACCCAGTTCTGCGGTGGAGAACTTGTGGAATGCTGCGCCGGCAGCGGCTGAGGCGGACGAGGTGGCTGGAGCCCTGAACCTGTGCCCGGTGCGAAGTGCAAGAAGCCACTCGCCGGTTTGCAAGGGGAGCGCCGAGTGCAGGACGCTTGGCAGGCTCCAGCCCAGCCGGAGCACATTGAGACCGTCGACGACTGGGGTGCGCTTGGAGGGCTTGGGAATGTGGAGATGTTGGGTGAATGATGTGTAATTTTCATTAGTGACAACTTCTGACATGTCAGGCACGGACACCACCGCAGGCTGCCTCACACAAGTTGAACATGCAATCTGCACGCCCGAACGTGACACTGCGCAGGCCCCACTGAAAACAGTGTTGTCGAAAGTCCTACCCGCCTGGAGGCCATTTCTTGTGAACTTTTGGAATGTGCAGGGGTCGATGTCAACATCCTAAAGTTCCCAAAGTGCGAAGCAGAAGGCAAGTCAAGAAGCCACTGAAGCTTGCGACAACGACGCTAGCAACGGTGAAGCCGGTGCAGAGCAGATTGAGGAGCCGGCGGACACACACGAGGATACTGCTGGGACTGGTGTTGTTGCTCACTGGCCGCTTGTCTTGGTGTCAGGATTCGGAGGCAGAGAGCTTGAACAAAGACGTAGCTCTTTGGCTGGGCCATTTGAACCTCACAGACCACACGCAGGCAGGGCAGGGAGGGCGGGGTGAGCTGGGGCGGCAGATTCACTTCATTTATTGAGATGTTTGAAAGCGAACACCCTCTGCGTTCTGTGTGCTGTTGCGCTCTGCTTCAAACTAGCGGGGCACGTCGCGAGCCAGGCGGTGCTCGCCTGGTGCGAGGAGATGGGCGCTGCCTCGCTCGAGGAGGCACTGTGCCTCCTTTCACCAATGTGCTTGACTCATGTTTATGCACCTTATACGTAGAGAAAGAAGTGCATAGATGTGATACAACAAAACAAGTACTTTTTTGAAAAACATGTTTTTTTTTTTTCTAGATATGGAGCATATACATATATGTGCTTCCCCCCATTGATCCACCGTTTTCGGCTTCAAACCTCTGAAAATATGCTTTGTGAATGGCCCTAGCCTAAATAATCTGAAAGTCTTGTGTTGCTACGCACCACATCTTTTGGATATCGCTGATCTAGGTTGCAGCGGACACAAATACAACCCTTAAACATACGCTTCGTGAAGTGCCCCAGCCAAAATGATCTGAAAGTATTGTGTTGCGTCATTTTCCGGATTGCTATTCTACGTCGCAGCAGACACAAATCCACATTTCCAGGGGTCAGCTATCTGAAGAAAATCATTGCCAAATGGTGATTCATGTTGCTTCAACTTAATTGTTACAATCAGGTACTTTTGATCATGATGTGCGTTCCTCTGCACTAATTCAAATGCGAACAACTTCACGATTTCGATTGAAATTGAAGGATATTTAACTTTGCTAATATACTCAAACTATTAACCGGTCGTCGTGTTTGAAACCACACAAATTAACTGACATTAATACAACTCAAATGCAGAAGCCAATGGCCTTTTGAACACATAAAAGGTTCAGAAGCACCGAGGCTCGTTAGGCCCATAGGTTGTCCTCATAGCTGTCCTTCATATCTGTCATCTCCTTCGGCTGCTATTTCGAAGTAGGGTTTTGGGAATAGGATTTAGCAAGTAACATGAAGGGAATCAGATTTAGGGATCGCGCTAGGATTTAGCGACGCGATTTGCTTAATAGAGTTCGTTGTTGAAGGTTTAAGGGCGCGGGCTCTTCTCTTCAGGATTTTAGGGCCCCCCTTTGTAGGGCTTGAGTTTAGGGCTTGGGGAATGGGACTTCGATTTAGGAATCCCGCTTCTTAGCGAAAGATGTAGTTGCATGGGGTCTTATTCTGCAGGAACTCAGGACCACCCGCTTTAGGGTTTACGCAATGGGGTTTGTGGAATAAGATTACAGGAATTAGCGAAAAGGATTTAGGACATAGGATTTGTTTGTTAGGATTTAGGGGCTCTCCTCTTTAGGATTTAAGGATGCCCGTCTTTGGGGCTTAGAGAATTGGATTAAGGGAATCAAATTAAGGGAATAAGATTCAGGGATCCCTCTCTTTAGGATTCAGCGACAAGCTTTAGGGAATAGGCTTAGTTGTTTAGGATTTAGGGGCCCTCCCTGGGATTTAGGGACGAAGATTCGGTTCAGGGCTTGGCCAATATGCTTCAAGGAATTATCGAAACGTGCTTAGGGTTTAGGGACCCTGCTCTTTCGGGTTTAGGGAACAGGGTTCAGGGATTTAGGGATCCCGCTCTAGCGACACAGGATTTGGGCAATACGGTTAGTTTTGAGGATTTAAGGGCTCTCCTAGGGCCTCTTTATGGCGCAAGCACATGAAATGACTGCCGTTCAGCATTGGAAATCTTGAACTTCAGTATTCCGTATTGAACTTCAATATTGGACCCGGATCCAAGATTCAAGCTTCAAGATGCCTGAGAAAGTTTTCCTGGGCATCTTGAATCTTGAATCTTGGATCCCGCCCCAATATTGATCTTCAACATTCTGTATTGAACTTCAATATGGGGTCAATATGCATGTGATCATGGTTGCGCCCTTTCGGGCTCTTGGGCCCCCCCCTTTTAGGGTGTCGGGTTTTAGGGTGTAGGGCTTAGGTTTTGTTTGGGTTTAGGCTCTAGGGTTGTCGGGTGTATGGTTGCAGGGTTTAAGGTTTATATTTTTGTTTTTAGGCTTGGGGGTTGAAGGTTTTCGGGTTTAGTGCTTAGGGTTTAAGGGTCTTAAAGCCCCGGTTTTCGGAGGGGAGCGGGGGGGAGCGGGGAGACCGTAGACCCTGGGGAGGGCCTTGATCCACTTTTTTTGCTTGTTTTCTCATCCTGCGCAGGCACGGACCTCAGCAAGCTGCTCAAGTCCGGGGAAGGGGAAAACTTTGGGGTGTAGCTTCGGTCCTCAAATTGAAGATTGAGAATTGAAGACCCCTCAGAAAGTTGTTCTGGACTCTTCGGTTTAAGGACCTCCAAAGATTCAAATTATACAAATGTCACTATGAAGAAATTGCGGTCCTCACATTGAAGACTCCAGAATGGTTTTTCTGAACGATCTTGAGTCTTCAATCTTCGATTTCCTGAGAAGATCCCACAGAGAAGTGTTTCTGACATCTTCAATGCGAGGACCTAAACCGCAACCCCTGAACCCTGGGCCGAAAACCATAGAAATCACATCAAATATGAACTGTTGTCAGATGTTTTTTCCGGAGTGCTTCCCAAGACGTTGATGTCGTGAGTCCTTTGAGTGGGTTTGTGGTTTGGGCTTTAAGGTTTTCCGTTGTGGATATTGGGGTTGAGATTCCCCTATAACCCGTACATTATGCATTTATAGGCGATTCAGTTTACCGTCGTAAGTTTTCAATTCTTTGCAACAACTCTTGGGTCCTGCGACCAGAGACATGCCCCGTCCGCTTAAATGTCTAGGAAGCTTTTCTTTGTGTCGCCTAAATTTAGATCCCCCCCAATAACCCCTATGTTCTGTGTAAAGGCCACGGAGTTGTGATTCGAGTTGTATTTTTCATTTACATCAAAATACATGGTCGCATAAGAAGTTTAACCCATAGATCTGACCACCAAGTTAGCGACGTGATGTACCGCTTGAACTTGTTAGAGCCCAGAAGATCGTGTTGTTGAGTTAGAGGGCGTTCACGTTGTTACGAAGCAAAGCCACGATGCGCAATGCTGTGTTTAAAACACATGGTTTCAATCTTGAAACTATCAAGGAAAACAGAGTTTACGTTTAAGTTCATAAACGTAAGCAGAGCCCATTTTTTCGTAATGGTGCTATTTCTGCTCATTGCAAAAACATAACAATGGCTTAGAAGCCACAACAAATACTCCGCTACCCAAAACCCTCAACCCTAAATCCTAACCTAGACCCTAAACTTAAAGGCAACCCACAACCACACCACAGCGGGGGGGGGGGGGGGGGGGGGCAACTGTAGACCCTAAAGCCTAAAGCTAAGACCTTAAACCCTAAGCCCTAAACCCTAAACCCGAAACCCTCCCTGTCTACATTGTATATCCATATATAAGCCCTAGTCTTTTTTCGGTCAGAACCATCATCGACGGTTTAGACCCCAAATCCGGAATCATGGTGTCGGGTTTAGGGCCCCAAATCCCGGCGTCCTAATCAAACCCATAGCTGATGGTTTAGAGCCTAAACCCGGAACCATAATCTGACGATTATGGTTCAGGGTTCAGGGGGCCTGAACACGGCCTCATGCCGGAAGCTTAATCGAAAGGATAATTGTTGAGGGTTTAGGGGGCCTAAAACCAGAATCATTATCGGAACCCTAATGGACGGTTTAGGGCCTAAACGTAGCCATCATCGACACGATTGTGGTTCAGGGTTTCGGGGCCCTGCTTCATTGACGTTACAGTTTATCTGAAGGGTTTTATGTGGCTGTAGTTTTGTAGCATTTCTGACGTCGAATTGCAAAGGAAGCAGTTTCACCCGACAAGGTGTTGTTGTTGTTGTTGTTGTTGTTGTTGTTGTTGTTGTTGTTGTTGTTGTTGTTGTTGTTGTTGTTGTTGTTGTTGTTGTTGTTGTTGTCATTGTCTGTCCTGTCGAAAGAAAGAATTATGTTACATATTTTACATGTTATGGGATTCTTTGGGCGCGCGGGTATGCGCGGGTATATTTCCGCTTGACTGGTGAACGCTTGGACTTGAGATGCTGGACCCTAAACCCTAAACCCTAAACCCTAAACCCTAAACCTTAAATCCAAACCCTAAACCTTACACAGCCTTAAACCCTAAACCCTAAACCCTAAACCCTAAACCCTAAACCCTAAACCCTAAACCCTAAACCCTAAACCCGAAACCCGAAACCCTAAACCCTAAACCCGAAAACCTAAACCCTAACCTAAACCCTAAACCCTAAACCCTAAACCCTAAACCCCTAAACCCTAAACCCTAAACCTAAAACAACCCTAAACCCTAACTAAAACCCTAAACCCTAAACCCTAAACCCTAAACCCTAAACCCTAAACCCTAAACCCTAAACCCTAAACCCTAAACCCTAAACCCTAAACCCTAAACCCTAAACCCTAAACCCTAAACCCTAAACCCTAAACCCTAACTTAAATTAAACCTTAAATCCTAAACCTTAATCCCTAAACCCTAAACCCTAAACCCTAGACCTTAAACCCTAAACCCTAAACCCTAAACCCTAAACCCTAAACCCTAAACCCTAAACCCTAAACCCTAAACCCTAAACCCTAAACCCTAGACCTTAAATCCAAACCCTAAACCTTACACAGCCTTAAACCCTAAACCCTAAAACCAACCCACAACCACAAGACAGGGGCGGCAGGGGTTGGGGGGGGAGAGGGGGGCCCACCGGGCCGCAGATATCAATATAAATACATCTATATATATATATATGTATATATGTATATGTACTTTTTGTGTTTTGATAACCTTTGCCAGTGAGCTCTCGGGGTTCTCGAGCGGGCATTCTTAGATGATGTCGGGCACATGTTCTGCTGGCCATTCGTCGCTCAGCGGAGATGGACGTCATTAATTTTAACGCTACGCGACCCACCTCGGCCCGGCCCAGCGCATCCACGTGACCCCAAGCAATAAGGGTTGGGTCTAGGGTTTAGGGTTCCGGGTTTATGGTTTATGGTTTGGGGTTGAGGGCTTAGGGCTCAAGGTTCACGGTTTGGGGTTTAGGTTTTTTTGGGTTTAGGGTTCAAGGTTCAAGGTTGAGGGTTGAGACGGTTGATCGTAAAGTTGAGCCAGGGCCGGGGGGGGGGGGGGAGAAGGGGGGGGCGGTGTGGGGGGGGGGTGGGGGGGGGGGGGGGTGGGTGGGGTGGGGGTGGGGGGTGGGGGTGGGGTGGGGGGGGGGTGGGGGGGGGGGGGGTGGGGGGGGGGTGGGGGGGGTGGTGGGGTGCGTGGGGGGTGGAAAGCGGGCTTCAACTGAGCGGGGTGCCTGTTCTCACAACCTCTACACCTTCGGCCCGAGGCCTCGGGGGATGTCTGTTGCAGGTCATCGAGAGCATCGACGACCTGGTGCGAGAGCTGGCGCTGAAGCCTCTGCAGGCCGAAGTTCGAGGGCTTTGAGGGCAAACCGCGTGCAACTTATTGCAACTTGTGGCACATGAGCAGGAGAAGCGACTTCAGAGCAAAGCTGTGGAGGCGCTGGAGAACGTACGATCCAGGGAGGCGCTGGCATTGTGCATCGTTGCACCTTCTGTGACCAAGTACTGGCACACGCTACAGTTGACACAGTCGCGATATGTCGAGATAGCCACGATATCCGCAGGCTACGCAAGCCAATGTGCTGTACTTAGATGGACTCAACCCTTGGAGTCGAGGACGTCTTGCAACGTCATGCAATGGCATGAAGGGAGCATGTGCAGACAAATTGCAGGAAGGTCTGAGGGGCCACGGCCTGTAGATTGGTTTGGCCAGTTCTCTCCGAACATAGAATGGTCGGATCATGGCCACAGCGTGACTGATTGATGCTTCGTTGAACTCTGGAAGCCTTGGGATGGGTTTGTCTGTGCGTGTTGGGAGCAAGTGGGCAGGTATTGACCCATCTACAGAAGCAAATGAACCTACTACTCAGGTTGCTGGATCGGAACCATCGTCAGCTGCTCCAGGTCCATGTCCTTGATCTGCACATGCGCGATGTGGAAAAAATCGCACATGCTTCCCCACCAAGGCACGAGCTACTACGTTCTGCCCTCGGAGCCTTCGTTGTGCATGCACCGCAGCACTAGCGATTGTATCATGCATGAAAATTGGCACGGTAGCCAAAGGACGTGTGTTTTTGTAGCAAACTTGGCCTGAGGTTCAAGGCTCCCCTGGTAGATGCCCATGCAAAACAAACTCAAACAAACTGAGGTACAATTTCAACAAAGCTAACAGGACGATGAAAACACAATTCGCTTGGTTTCCTAGCGCCAGGGTGTCTCGTTCTGACTCCGGCTTTTGTTTTTGTTTTACATTTTTGGGGCGGTGCATCCCTGACGTGTTAGCATAGCTTTGTTGACATGAGATTCTTGATGTGTCACTCCAGAATCAGGATGGTGCTGGGACGTCATCGTCCCGCACTGGTTCGAAGGAAACGCGTCCGGCAGAGCCCTCAGAGGAGGGTTTGACTCGGCTGGGTCCAACGCATTGGCAAAAGTGAGCAGGTGTCAAAAGCTCAGAGCTTCTACAAGTCTTGCGGCCAGGTTCTGTCCGGCTTGTTTGGAGAAAGCAAACAACAGCTCTGTTCTCTCTTTGCTTTTCGAGAATGGACTAGCTGCCTAGCTGAGTAGCAGGAAGCAGAGGACAACTACCTCAAGCAACGGCCAACGGAGACCGCGGTTTGGGTCCCTTCTGCCAAGAGCAGTCAAGGCCATGAGCTGTTTTGTCGTGTGAGGCAACGTACGTGTATAAGACATCTCTGTCCAAGAGTGGGCACTCATGTGCTGAGTATGGGTCAGGTGCCAGGAAGCGGCAAAAAGACCGGACAGCTGCGGCGAACGAGGCTCTGCAAAACAACATCTCTTAAACTAAAGTTGAACCACATTCCAACAGCATGGACATGGAAGTCATGGAAGCTGGAGAATCTGTACAATCTGATGACAGGCCCAGGCATCCGCTCAGAAAGAGGCTGAGGCAGAGGTGGGCTCGGGGGGGGGCCTTCCATGAGAATTTCAGTTTCACAGGACATGAGCCGGGTGAGCCTGTGCTGATCTGTGCTGCTGCAATTGCAGGCTCGTCGAGAAGCAGCGCGACGGCTGGAAGAGCAGTTGCGCGAGGTTGGCTTTTGAGCCTGGAAGAACGGTTGAACGAAGATTGGAAAAATATGCACGAAAAAAAGAACACTGAGAAGTTTGAGAGGAGAAGGAGCAGAAGCTGCGGGAGTGCCGCGCTCTCTTAGCCAAGAGCTCAGTATGCACTGGTAGTCACCAGTGTACTTTCATTCATTGCTGCATTGCTGATTCTTGCTCCCCTTGCTTGCCAGTTGTTCCCTCTTTTGAGACTTTCCGGGACCAGGCAGATGCTTTGGATCGCACTGACTCGCAGGCAATGGCCGGCCAGACAACCATAATACGAAATCTCTGCCTGCCTTGGAAGCTCGACATTCGAAAGGCATTCGCAACGGCGCTGGCAGCTGCCAAGAAGGCCAGCATCATCGAACAGCAACTTATCCGCTGCAACTGAACTGCTGTCGCCGTCGGTACTTTGCGGCTTGCATGGCGATTGATCGCAGAAGGGGACCAACTTTTGACCGGTTTCTGGGCAGCCTTCGAGTCTTCGAGTGTTCTTTCGAGTTTGCACAAGAAGAGGCACAAGTCAGGAAGAAGGCACCAGTCAAGGAAAAAGTCCGGGAGTCTGGAAAAGCAAGCAAGTCTGGAAAACACCAAGCACGACGTATTAGGTTTAGGGTTCTCGGGCTTTGGGCTTCAGGGGAAACGGGTTCTAGGGTTTAGGGCTTCGTGGCTCTAGGGTACGGTGTAGGGTGTAGGGGGGTCAGGATGAGGGTTTTAGGGCTTTGGGGTCTGGACCTCTCAAGTTTAGGGTTTGAGGGTTTGAGGGTTTGAGGGTTTGAGGGTTTGAGGCTTTGAGGGTTTGAGGGTTTGAGGGTTTGAGGGTTTGAGGGTTTGTAGGGTTTGAGGGTTTGAGGGTTTGATGGCTTGAGGGATGGGTTTGAGGGTTTGGGGGTTCGGGGGTTTGAGGGTTTCGTGGTTTAGGGCGTCTAGTGTTCGAGCTGGGTTTTAGGGCTGTTGGTTTGACAGCTCAGGGGCTTCGGGGCTTTGGTAGGGTTCAGGTTTTAGCTTTGGGCTGTAGGGTTTAAAACTACTTGCCTTTCGGGGTTTGAGTGGTGCTTTAGGGTTTAGGGCTCCAAAGATTTAGGCTTGAGGGCTTGCGGGCTTGAGGGCTTGAGGGCTTGAGGGCTTGAGGGCTTGAGGGCTTGAGGGCTTGAGGGCTTGAGGGCTTGAGGGCTTGAGGGCTTGAGGACTTCCGAATGGGCTTTAGGAGGTTTGCAGTCTGTGGTTTTCGGGTTCAGGTGTTTAGGGTTTTAGGGTCACGGTTTCCGGGCTTGAACGTTGTGGTCAGGTTCCGTTGTCATTCTGCGTAATTCGCCATTTTCACTACCGGGAGGGTTTCATTAAGGTTTTAGGGTTTGAGGGCTTCGGGGTGCTGGGAGGTGCTTAGGGGGTGCTTCGTGGATCGGACATTGTGTTACGTGTACACCCGAGCATCCTGTCCTTTTCGCACGCTTTTTTCCAGTCACACTGGGGCATTGTGCAGTGGCCTGTGGCATGTCCATCACCCAAGCTCGCTCGAAATATCCGTCGAAGCTCGACATGCTAGCTGCACAGCTTGTGGAGCTCAGACCACAGACAAATCAGCATAATGTGAAAAGGCTGCAACGCTGTGATGCAGATCCCACAAATGAACTCTCAGTCGGTGCTCGTCCCTCCGGGGCCCTCCTCCGGGGCCGCGGTTTGAAGTTGAACATGTCCCACCGCTTTCTATGCGTGGTCAGAGCTTCCAGGTGCATGGAGGTGATGTGCAGGTTGCATTGCCATCGCTGAGAGACGTACGTTCCATTGGATGATCCATGTTTGCAGAACTTCAGGCAGGGCTTTCGCCGGCTTGGATCTGAGATCTGCTCTGAGTCTTCTTTGGCTCTGGCTCGTGCATTGCGGTATGCGATGGCTCAGGAAGATGGCAAGGAAGCGCAGGACAAACTTAATCTCGCGCTTCGCAGGCGCCTGCAAGCGGATCTTCTCAGTGCGCCATCGCCTCCAGTGGCAGGCGAACGCAGCGTCGACATGATGCTCTGTGCGCCTTGCAGGCGAGTCTCGAAGCTCCAAAGGACTCTCTGAACATCTCTGAACCATCGGGCACCCTGATCCCCCTAAGTCATCTTTGTTCAGAGAGTTGCCTAAAAGCAGAGGATGAGGGCTTTGGACCGGCGGTGCAGAAGGCCTTGGAGGAGGCGAGAAGTGGATGTGGATGTTCCGCATCTGCTTTCCACTTGCGCACTGTTTGGCTTGCATTTTATCTTATCATTGATGTCATGAAGTTGTCGTGACTGGGCTTGTGATTCTTGTGTTTGAAGGCCAAAAAAGAGGGAGTGCTGGAGCATGTGCTGGGTCCTCTTTCTTCATCACCGTTGAACATGTCCACGAGGGGAACGTCTTCCGCTGGCAGCAGCACGTGCAAGGCCGGGTGGTCGCGAAGCAGCCCGAGATGCTGAGGCTGCTTTGCATGCCCGAAGCTTAGACTTTTTGGGGTAACTTCCTGTCACCTTCTCGCGCTTCAGAGCTCTTGTGAAGGAGTGGGAAGTGGCCGAGCAACAGCGGCAAGAGTCCCGCATGGCGCTGCAGTGGGGCCCTTAGCCTTAGAAGAAGGCCTAGGCGAAACAATGAGCTGAGGGGAGACGATTGGAAATTTCCCACTATAGAATGAGACATGATGGTACCTGATGGGATATGATGGGACTGGTTGATGTTCGATGCTCTGCGCGAGCCATCCCCAAGCCCTAAGCCTTTGCCGCCTTTGCCGCCTTCGCCTGCATCCCAGGTTTGCCCTTCGGCGGGGTGAAGTCGGGGCTTTGCAGGTGGGTTAAACACTATGTTTCGCTGGCTTCTGCTGGGCTCCGTCGCTGTTTCAGTGTTTCAGAGCCAGGTGGCACTGAGCGAGGCGAAGGCTGCTGGTCTTGCGGACGACTCCGGCTTGATGGCAGAGGCGCGGTCTCTTTGACATTGTTGACGTTGGTTACTCAAAAGTTGCTCCTTACTTGACACTGTTCAGCTTCAGGCAGCCTCTCTGGTCCAGGCCCCGCTGAGTCAGCTTGCAGACTTCGATGTTCTTCGATTGCAGATTTTGGGGTCTTTTGGGGTCCTTTGGGGGTTTTTTGGGGTGCAATCCGTTGAGCCTGGTTGAACCATCCAAGATGTTTTCAGATTTGGGCCCGAAATGGCCCGAGAGCGCACGGAGCTTTAGTGAGTTTGGCGTGTGTGCTCTGCAAATGGCGAAGCGGCATGGCGCTGGTGCAGCCGCGGCCGTTGGGGTCCACACAGGATCCATGTAGCGATCCTCACGAAGAGGTCCGGGTTCCTTGAGGTGAGTATCCGTGTTAGCCTTGGTGAGGGTGTTTGTACGGAAGGAGACCTTGGGTATCACCACTGATGGGCAACCTCTGGATGATGTTCAGGCCCAACTCAGAGACCTCTGTTTGAGTGGTGCACGTGTGGTGCACGACATTTCTAAAAGCACGATCCTTCTTTTTTTGCTGACCGGTGCACGGAAATTATGAGGACGGCGATGGCAACTTGCGCATTGTCCTCTTCTCGTTCCTGGCTCTTCTGTCCACAGCCATCTTCTACCTTGCCGAAAGCTTATCCTTCGACACGATCTTTGAAATGCTTTGAAGCATGTTGTTGGGGGGACAAGTATGTCTTCCTTTTCCTCACTTCAAGGTTTCTCGGCAAGAGCAGGGCTCCAAACTGCTGAGCTCGAATCGGCTGGAGAAGTTGAGTGTGGCTTGGCTGAACAGTACTAATATGCTGGGCGCTTGCTGGGTATCAGAGAGAGATGGAGGGGGTTTGCCTCAGAGTACGCATTGCAAGTCTGGAAGATTGCATCCTCGCGCCTAGGTTGGGGTGTT